GAGAGGGGGTTGCGGGGAGGGAGCAGGTTCGGGGGTCGATTCGTGGACGACACGGATCGGTGGTGGAGGGGAACGCGGCCGCGGAGGAGCCTGTAATCGATGAGTACGATCCGGAAGGAAGAGGAGAAGATATACAGGTATTGGCGTGTCGATTCGCAGACGTTGAGCTGGGCGTTGCGGCCGAGCTGTAGCTGTAGCACGGCGTTTTTGGGACTTAGTGCGGCATGTAATACACGATAAGTAGATCTGCGAATTCACATCCGCGTTTGTATCCTTTAAGAAAGAGGTAAGTGGGAGCTTGTACGGGCATCGAGAGCAGTATTTAGAGGCCATGGGATAAAAGAAGAGGGAGTTAGACGGGATATAGTACGATGCGGACGGAGTATAACGTTGCGAGTGAAAAGATGTGACTAAGCTATATGACTAAGCAACTACAAAGCAACGCTACACACGGGACGCTACATACGTGACTAAAAAGGCAGGCTTCGAGTCGCGGGCAGGGGGGTCGGAACCGAAAAAAAGCTACGCTTTTAATGATCTAAACGCTATTGAAACAATGGTGAGAACCCAATCGGACCCAATCGGATTCATCGCTTATATGTCTTATGAGTTCGTTAGTATAGCTAGCTGCTTTGCCCAGGTCCTTTCTTTTTGGACCCTCTCCAAGCAGGTACCTAGCTATGTACGAAGTACTCGAGTAGGTCCCATGCAGATGAAAAGGTAAAGATTGTCCTCGTTTCTAAATTCTAAGCAAACGACGTTTACTGGTCCGGGGGTACTACGGAGGTATGATACTATAGCGACAGGGATGTAGCTTTAGCACAAGCTTTAGTGCCACATCCATGTTGATCTCTCTCGTCTCTCACCCATCGAGCCATCCCAGCGCACCCTTACACTTGACAACCCTAGCTCCCTAGCCAGCAGCACCTGCAAGCTTAGGACCAAGCCAAGTGATTCTTTTCCATCAGATCAGTTCTCCTTCGTGCCTGCTGTGCTTGCTGGTTGCAACGCCAGAGAATCACTTTTTGTACCTCGACTCCCCACACATCCTCAATCCAATTTGGCAGCGACACAACTTCAAAATGGCAGCAGTAAGTGCTCAAACTTGTCTGCTCCTACTTTGATATTCTTATTACTAATACCCCCCAGGCAATCCAGACGGTCTCAGAGAGCAAAGAGCTTCGGGGCCTCAATCTGATCGCGGCGCATTCACATATCAGAGGCCTTGGAGTTGATCCAGACACGCTGGAACCTCGTTCTTCGTCGCAGGGTCTCGTAGGCCAGGAACGAGCGCGTAAGGCCGCAGCGGTCATACTGCAGATGGCAAAAGAAGGGAAGATTGCCGGGCGCGCAGTACTGATCGCTGGCCCACCAAGGTATGTGCAGACGCCGGGTAACTGATGCTCCAAGTATTGATGGGAGTAGCACGGGAAAGACAGCAATCGCAATGGGCATGGCCCAGTCCCTCGGAATCGACGTGCCATTTACGATGCTAGCCTCGTCGGAAATATTCTCTTTGGAGATGTCCAAGACAGAGGCTCTGGAGCAGGCTTTTCGCAAATCGATTGGTGTGCGCATCAAGGAGGAAAGCGAAATGATTGAGGGTGAGGTTGTGGAGATACAAACAGACAGAAGTGTTACGGGTGGGACGAAGCAGGGCAAGCTTACCATCAAAACCACCGACATGGAGTCTGTATATGACATGGGAAGCAAAATGATCGATTCCATGACCAAGGAACGTGTTATGGCCGGAGATATTATCTCGATTGACAAGTCCTCGGGAAAGATAAGCAAACTTGGAAGATCGTATGCAAAATCTAGAGACTATGATGCCATGGGCGTCGACACCAAATTCTTGCAATGCCCGGATGGGGATTTACAAAAACGAAAGGAGGTGGTCCACACCGTCAGTCTACACGAAATCGATGTGATCAATTCGAGAACCCAAGGCTTTCTTGCTCTATTCTCGGGAGACACGGGGGAGATCCGGAGCGAGGTCAGAGACCAAATTAACACGAAAGTCGCGGAGTGGAAGGAGGAAGGAAAGGCCGAAATTGTTCCCGGCGTACTGTTTATTGACGAGGTTCATATGCTGGATATTGAATGCTTTTCATACATTAACCGCGCCTTGGAGGATGACCTTGCCCCAATCGTTATCATGGCAAGTAATAGAGGTCACTCCAAGATCCGAGGTACGAATTATAAAAGCCCTCATGGCTTGCCCCTCGATTTTCTGGATCGGGTCGTTATTGTCAGCACACACTCTTATAGTAAGGAAGAGATCCAGCAAATTCTGTCGATCCGCGCACAAGAAGAAGAGGTTGATATCACTCCAGATGCGTTAGCACTTCTTACCAAGATCGGTCAAGAAACTGGCCTTCGATATGCAAGCAACCTGATTACCACGTCTCAATTGATAAGTGCCAAGCGTCGCGGAAAGCAAGTCGCAATCGAAGATGTACAACGAAGTTTCCAGCTTTTCTACGATTCAAACAGAAGTGTAAAATTCGTAGCAGATTTTGAGAAGAGACTAATCGGCGAATATGGAGATGTCAGTCTCTCTGTTACGAATGGCCATGGAGATGCAATGGAGATTTCATGATTTGGATTTGAAGTAGGGGCGTTTGGAGTGGATCAGCAATGGATGGCATTGGCTCTTACGGTGACCACAGGTTAGATATGGGTTGTATGTACGAGTACGAAAAAGCTTGGGGCCAGGTTATGTAGCAGTATACCAATGGAAAAAATACGTCTTAGTGACCATTGCTAAACGCTTTTCCTTTTCTATTTGGGTATCATTTTTCGTTTCCTTATTTCGCCGTTTCTCATGCTCATACAAATTTCACAACCCGACTCCAAGCTTTTTCATCACCAACTCTCCTAAATTCAACACCTTCTCCAAAATATCCTGCACCCTGCCAGGCTGCCATAGTAGCCCCATCATAAGGACCTTGTTTGACGTCTCCGTCTCTCCCGTCTGTCCACCTATACTCCCATATGATGGCAGGCTTTATGCCATCAACCAGATTCCGAGCCTCATCACCGGCTGAAGGCTCCACCCAATCTTCACCAGTTTCTTTTTTGTACTGGCGAATCAGCATCTCACGTTCTTGCTCGTAGATCTCAGTCTGTCCTCTGGTCAAAAGCTGGTCGGCAGCTCCGGTGATTGAGTTTACGGCTTCTTTGATTTTGGTCTGCACTGGGTCTTCAGGGACGTCGGTGTCAACGACGTCCTCAATTCCCTTTTGCCTCTTGAGCTTCCATTTGGGAACTTTCTTCGTTTTCGTTTGAGATTTGCCTAGGCGTGCCAGAGCTTCTAGAACCGTTTCTCCTTTTTCAAGATGCAAAATAAGTGTTCGTAGGATATCTGGTAGGAGAAGGGCATCATCTTCCAGTCGCTTTTGCCGTCTTTCTGCCTCTCGCTTTTCGTGAGCTTCAGCGGCTCTTTTCATGTCCTTCTTGTTGATGCCTTCCAGCCAGGAATCATGTTTTGATTCTGGGTCCTGTGCCTTGCGGACAAAATTTCCGGCATCATCGAAGCGTCCCTCTTCCTGCTCTGCTTTCATGTTGAATGCGTCGACTTTCGGGGCGTTTCTTTTAAGGCCTCCAGCTCCCACCTCTTCGTCAATACCCTCTTCTTCTGCAGCTAATGCTGCATCATCTTCGTCATCGCTGCTCTCCTGGTCATCCATTGCGTGTGAAGATAGCTTGCCATTCGGATCCAGTGCAAAGTTTGAAGAAACATGGCCACCGGATTTGCTATTTTCGACTTGGCCCTCAATCTCGTCTGCCTCCAAAAATCTAACTGCCTTTTTTTTCCTCTTCCTCGCATTCAATCCCTCCTCACCATCCCCGTCATCTTCTTCCAAATCCGCAAACATATCTTCATCCTCATCCTCGTCGACTCCATTCTTTTTGTTTTGCCCATCTTTAGAGTAGCCATCTAGTGCCTCTGCAAAGCTAACTTCTCCCTTTCCCTTCCTCGCTCTCGCGCGCTCCTCCGCCCTGCCATCAAAGCCTTCGTTCTCGGAGTCGCTGTCGAAGCCGTCAATATTGACTGCGCCACGCTTTGTTCCTGCTCCTGAAACGGCTATGACATCTGCTTCCAGAATTGCATCCTCCTCGGGGGCATCAGCTGCAAGGGCAGAGGGATTGCGAATATCGAACTTTGGTTTCTTGGAGGGGCCGTCTTGGTCCTCGGCGTGATGGGTGCGGGCGAAGGCCTCGCCGCCTCGTTTTGGGCGCGCTGCAGAAAATCTGGAGCTCATTCTGCTGTTCTCTCTCTGCTTGTATGAACCTTAGACACAATAAATAGCGAGTTGCGCGTGAACGGAGTATCCCAAGGTTGCAGGTGTGGTTCTCGTCGATGTTGGGTGTCGGCGATAAGATTGCCCAGCTCCGCCGGCGCCTTCAGGCACCGCCAAAAACGTCATATATACTAATTGGAGCTCCGAGGTCTTTTCCTACCCAGAGTGTTCCGCCTTTTTCTACCCCCCACCCCCACTCGTTCTGACGCTAATTTTGATTGTGATTCTGCCACCACGACTACACTCTCTGCACTTTACAAACTGCGCAGCGACAGCAGACAACTCTTACCAAGATGGTATGTTTCTTTGTTCGCATTCGCGCGGCCACCGACCACAATGCTAATAGCTCATAGTTCAACCCGGGATATTTGCAAGAAGACATGTACAGCATGATGAGAGGAGCAGGACGAGGCGGTGCCCCGAAGAGATTCGATGAATACTACCGATGCTATCCTACCGTTATGCTTCCAGGACCAGAGCGTGCCTATCTCAATTATGGTGGCAAGATCATTCTACCGCCCTCAGCTTTGGAGAGACTCACACGCCTCCACATCGTGTATCCCATGCTGTTTGAGCTCACAAATGGCAACGAACAGAAGCATACTCACGCAGGGGTCTTGGAGTTTGTTGCGGAGGAGGGAAAGGTCTATCTTCCACATTGGGCAAGTAACATCCCGAAGCTCAAATGAAGCCCACTAACATCTTGCAGATGATGAAAACACTTCTTCTCGACACCGGAGATCTCATTCAGATAAAGTCAACTGATATTCCCCGGGCAAAATTTGTTAAACTACAAGCTCAAGATATTAACTTCCTCGATATCTCCGACCCTAAAGCCGTTCTCGAAAAAGCATTCCGTGACTTTGCAACCGTTACGCAAGGAGACATTTTTAGCTTTACATACAACGATACGATATACGACGTTGCTGTTATCGAGGTCAAGCCACTTACTGAAAAAATGGGTGTGTGCATGTTAGAGACGGACGTTGAGGTCGATTTCGCAGCCCCGGTAGGATATGTCGACCCGCCATCGAACAGAGGTAGTGGAACGAGTACACCAAGAAGTGTGGCTGGGTTACCGGCAGGCGGTCTTTTGCACAGTCAAGGTACCATGGCCCAGGCTATCAATTATGATACTATCAAGCCATCATCCGGTACTGCAGCCGCTGGTGCCAAGGCAGTCTCATCAAACTTTCTGCTCGGTGGACAAAAACTCAACGCGAAGAAAGGAGGTAAAGCACCAACCCCCAAGGCTTCTACGCCCGTTGCCGGGGCTTCCACAAATCCCCCTCCTCAAGTGATTCGTCGTACGAATGGACCCGCACCACTCAGACTGACCCCCAACAAATTATTCTTCGGTTATGAGGTCAAGCCTCTCAAAACACAAGCAGATAAGGATAAAGAAAACGCCGAAGCACTTCAACCACATTTTGCCGGGCAGGGTAATACACTTCGAGGAGGACCAGTGAAGGCCAAGCCTGAATCAGAAAAGGCAGCTGAGCCAGTCAAAGAGAAAGAACCAGCAGTAGGTCGACGACTTGATGGGAAGAAGGCTTGAGGGTCTTGTGGGTTATGAGGTTTCGTTGTTATAGTCTTTGGGGCGTCGGTAGAACGGGCATTCGGCGTTGAGGTACGGCATTATGATGAACAGGCGAATATTTGGTATCATATGGGGCGCAAAATAATGTGAAATGTTGCCGACTGGTTAGCTGGGAATTCTTTGATTTGGAAGGTTTAGTCTTCGCCTACCAAGAAGGAATCTGAGCTTAGGTTTCCCCATGTTTTTTTCTTCCCAATACTCTTGCGGGCTTCTTTCTTTTTATTTTGTTCAGTCTTCGCGTAGCATAGTGACCTCGTCACTGTTACTTGGTTCTAATTTTCAGGATGTTCCCCGGTCTCCTCTGCTAAAATCCCGGTCCCATCCTTCCTCCTCATTTGGGGGGAAGTGGAGGGGAGAAGAGCTAAGGGTGTCTTTTTTGTAAAAGAAAAGAAATAGAAACCACAAACTATATACCTGTACACGCTTGGGGATTTACTTCAGAATTTTCCCCTACATCTGGCCGCAGCCTGCACCTGCTTTCATTTTGAGTAATCAAGATTGTGTCGACTTACCAGATCCGTATCGAAATTGCTGACTGTTGTTTGAAGTTGAAGCTGGTTTGCACATTTCTCCAGATTCCCTACTTAATTGGTCCTTGTTCTAGAATGAGAACTTTTCCCTTGGGAGTAGCCACTTTCAGCATCTTGAGCCCTTGGGTAGGTTACTCACCTTGTTCAATCTCTAGAAATCCCCATTTCAAGTATAGAGAGGCCTTCTAGCTATGCAATAGGTCCAACATAAGCCTCCGTTGGAAAGCTACTGTCATTCGACTCGCTTGAAACGCCACAATCAAAGTAAAAGTACAGTACGATCGCCCAGTCACCCCGTATTTATCAAATCCAATGAGTTCTCTTCAATCGGTTGTAGTCTACTTCCATTCTGAATATTTGTTAACTTGCTTTTGTGTTTAGCTTTGGGAAGCCTCGAGATCGCTACCAAAGCCAAATCAACACTTATGTTGCCAAGCTCGCTGCTCGCAAGTCCTTTAGAGCAAAATGCACTCCATTACAGGGGCCACCAAACGCTTTCTTTAAATGCAGACTCTTGCCAATGGAGTATTCATACGAGTTTCAGGAATGGAACAACTTTTGCAAACAACTGTATCTCCCAGTATTTCCTTTATGATTGTGGTTGCTAATGATTCACAGTATAGTGCACGGGTAGTGTGTTTTTCGTCTTGAAAAGTCACGTTGCTGAATTTCATGCAGATTCAAAAGTGGACTGAAAGAAGCGAGCAGTTTCTCGGACAGGCTTCGCGTCCTGGAGCAAGCCTTCAAAGGAACTTAATATATCCCTCGATCTAAGAACTCATCTTATCGGCTATAGTGTGAGTGTAGTAGACCTGGGCTTATAGGGAAAACTTCATGGGAACAACACTATTATTGTTTCTTTGAAGAAAGCCCCAAATAACGTGTCTCGATGGCATGGGTATATTGGAAATACCGTTCCATGGATATCAAAGGCTATCTCAGAGCTCGTAATCAACGCATCAAGGGAACTGGCCGTTTTGAGTGCTGCGGGTGCAAGCTTTGAGGTGGACCAGCTAAATAACAACGGCCCTATGGTGACTTGCATCCCTCCTAGGCCTTCAGGATACTTACATGTTGGGTACGCAAATCCTCACTTCTCAACAACTATTTTGATTACAACATTAGAGTAGGTATAAGATATGTTGATTCGATGATATAAACCCTTTTAAGAAGAAAATGGAGTTCCGAGACTCAATTTTGGGAAATTTCAAATGTAATGGTTATGGATATTATTGCTTAGGAGACAACATTTTCATTAGACTAATCTCAAGAAATATTCGAACATGCCTTCAACCTGATCAACAGCTGGTGGTAAAGGGTTTGCAGACGGCTCTGAACTGAGGAAAGGGATGGAGGCCGGAGAAATCGACTTCCTTCGAAAAGACGCGTTCTTGGAAGTCGGGAGACTCTGAAATATTTCGCGGAGATGAAAACGGTATCCGGGGGAGGCCGAAGGTGGTGTATTCTGGCAAGCATTGTATACGGCAGCACAAATCCTGTCATCTACCGCTGCAACGTCATTCCACATCATCGCACTGGCACTGAGCGGAAGAGATATCCTACCTGTGACTTTTGTATACTAATATTGGATACAGGTCTCTCTATATCTCCACCTAGGCACTTGTCCCACGAGGAATATATTTGGCCTAACTAGGGGCGTGTAAAGTGGTTTCCAGTAAACACCGTCCAATAAAACATATAATTTGATTTTATATATAACCTTTATATTAGCCAATAAAAACTTACCGAAACTTACTTATCTCTTATTGATAGACAATACTAAGTCTAGCTCAAAATTCTGATCGTAAAATTTTCCTATATCTCTATATAAAAAGAGACATGTTTAAATCAGGGGTTCGCTAAACAGGAACAAATAGCTTGGCGGGGACAAGGACCTAGGGGATAATTCTTTATCTGTAAGTCCCTCTACTTGTCTCCCTACTATCTCTATATGGAAGTCCCTATTTATTTTGAGCAAAGTGATAGGCAGAGAAAGGACGGGCTAGCTAGTAGATATAGAAATATATATAGAGGGGGGCATTTAAAATTGTGATTCTAGATATACGGGAACTATTGACTTTTTAGCAATTTTCGACTCCATTCAAGTTTCCCGAGAGGGGGTTTTGATCGTTGACTCCCAGGAGTCTATGAACCATAGATTGTGCTCCCACTGGGAGTATTATACAAGGAAAATCTAGCGAAGTGACAGTAGGTAAGTGAAGTTCACCATAGAGCATAGGTTGTGACATAGGCTTGAGAGAGGATGCTTTGAGGAGCTTAGACTCAGTGGAAGAAAAGCGCTCTGTATATACGTATCAGTGCGTACCTCAAAGCATAGAGGAGGGACACTTTGAGCCATTTTTGACGTGACAGCATACATTTCTTTTGAGCAATTTCACAATGTTTTCAAGACAAATATATGATCAAGATGGGGACTTTGAAATAGGCTGCTTAGCCTCAGAGAATCTAGATCATGCAGTGATAGTCTAGACACCTCCGTACATATTGTTGGACAGATCCAGACATCCACACACTTCCCACCAATATTCAATTGCTCAGCAGAGATCAACACAAACTTTGACCGTACAGGAATCATCCTAACTACTCGTAGATAATTCCTATACCACAACCCACACCGCACTGTGTCACTCACAACAGGCTTTTGTTTTTCCAGAGTACAGTATACCCCAGCATGTTTCTCCGTTACTCAAGATTAGTTAATTGTCTCGTGAATCTAACGCCTCTCCAACTAGTTGACCTTGAATTAAAATGTTCAAATCACTGTCAGCCCAGAAATAAAGCCTGGTATCTAAACAAAGGTCTTTTCTGCAAAAATCCCTTTTCTGCAAAAATCCCTTTTCTTCCAAAAATCACCTCAACCTGGCTATAAGGAGGCAACTAGTATAGAGATGGATCTCCCAGAAGATGGCCCTTTTGCATTCAACGGGGTTATCGAGTGGGCCAATGGACCTAAGCCTTGATGACGACAAAGAAGAAGATTTTGAGGGGCAGGCAATAGATATCGACAATACTATGCACATTCTGAAAAATTGCGTTCTGCTAGACATGATCAGAGTAGATGATCTTGGAGGTTGGGGTTTAATGGACTACAAAAAGCTACTCTGATATCCAAATATGAAGGAAGCCAACTTTCTCTGGGACGATATCGCTGATGGATCCAAGTTTTCATCGTTTGTGAAGTGTGGAGGAATTGCTGGTCAAATACATGTTTGAATTATCAGATCATGCCAGAGACCCTTTCAATGCGAAATGAATGCAAATGGTGCTTTCTTGCAATAGCGAATATGGAGAGAGATTGATGGGCTTGATCCACCATCATCTGACTTTGAAATACGAAACTGCACCCTATTTGACGATTACTATGGTATTTGTGTGGTACATAGCTAGGCGATATTACTTTACAAGACTTTGGATTACGAAAGGCAGATGTGAGTTGGCATGGGACTCTTTCAACACTTGGCTGTCACAAACGTAAACATTTCTAGACTAAGTCACAAAGACTGTGATGTGGCAATGAAATCATGAACTGTAAAACTGAAAAGGTGCACCTTGCTTCTCTGACCATAACGTTGTTCTTTTTGTTATAGAGATACTCCCAAAATAGCCACAGGGCGATCTATTACTAAAGAATGTGGAATGTAAAGCGACTTAACTTCTGAACTCCCTGAAGCATCCCTAAACGACGCCTCTATTCCTTATACGGTGTTCTGAAGAAACTTTCTGAGCTGGAGGTACGTGGACGAAAGGCCCATTCCGACAAGTTGGCAGAGGCAGGTTCAACCAAGTCTGGAGTCGCTTCAGGCTTCCTACCTCTCCCACCACACCACCACAACATACAGACACGTCGTCTTGGATTCACGCCAAACAACCCAAACCCCCTCAGTTCCTTCACCAGCCACCAATTCACAACATGGGGGCCAAGGAAGAACCTTTGGAGGAGGCTCAATCAATCGGCGGCAATGAGTCTGATCGCATCTTCTCAGAGCAGATTCATGGCAACGTTGTCGTTGAGGATGTCATAAATTCCATTCGTCGATTAGAGTTCGACGACGACTCTATCGTCATCTTCATCTCAGGCGTTACCTGTACCGATGATTGTGCGCTACCTACAGGTTCTGCTGTTGGGGTTTTTTTCAGTCCATCATCGCCATTGAACCTCAGCGAGCGCGTTCCCCACCGATTGCCACTGCTTGTTACTGTCGCCGAAATGTATGCCGCTATGCGTGCGCTTGAAGAGTTTTGTTTGATGTCAGATAATACAAACCTATGGCACCCAGCAACACCTGCCTCAACTCTAGTCGCCAACAAACACGAAAATGCTGAGACTGCCGACAAACTTTCCGATCTTGAGGAGAAGGAACGTGACGACCGACCAGCGAGAGAATCTACACCTTTGACAGACAACATTTCTGATATTGGCTCTGATTCTACCATGGTGGTAACAGATTCGGAGGAGTCGGTGAGTTAATAGCGCGTGGAGAGACCAGTGAGCATTGACTAAAAGCAGACTAGGAGGATTTTGATTATACAAGCCACCTGCGAGACTACTTCGGCTTCAATGATATGATAGTCAGAGAAAACACGATACCAGCTCCAAAACGTTGTTTTGGGATCTCCCGAGTCGTCATTGTCACAGAGTGCGAGGAACTTATCGATACTCTCTGCGAGGAAAATGCAAAAGAAGTACCGAGAGGCCCGGAACCTCTGCCACATACATGGGGATTGCTTAGAGAAGGGAGAAGTATCAGTGCAAGCGTTAGCAAATTGGAAGTGCAAAGGGATTCTCTCCTTAAACGTCTTGAGGATTTTTCAGCACCAGAGGTCGCAGACACACTCAAACAAATTCAAAGTCTGGATTCTGAGATAGCATGTGCGGAACGTTCGTACGCTTACACGTTTTTCAAGGCAGAGGAGGACCGAATCAAGGAGATCGCTTATATTGAAGGACTCTCGGTAGAGGAGAGCCGTAGCCTTTTGGAGCTTAAATGGGGACTGGATCGCGCAGCAGAGGCCGTGGAGCGTTTGTGTCCGTTGAATATTTGGCTGGTTGAAAAGGGCACGATTCTTGAGGCTCGGAATCTTGCTTTGCAATCTCCTATAATTAATCAGCCTTGAATGTATGAGTGCTTGCGGCAGCTAAGGAATCTGTTGCGGACGTGGTACATGCCACTAAGTTGCGGAAGAATGCGTTCCTGGGGTGATTTCGAAAATGGATCCGGCGGATTGGAGCTCGAATACGTGGCGAGAAGCGGATTTGCAGCTGTAAATCGGATACTTTCATTGTTGGCTAAAGCTTCATCATTGCTGCTGAAACAATACGTTCCTATTTGAGTGGGAACATTCAGCAGATACTCGTGTTTTGTGTTAAAGACAGAAGCTCAATCAGAGTATTATACGATTCCCCTTTGCTTCAGCTTTCTGAACTTTATCGAGCTAAAGTGACGGATTTTGTATAGCTTTCTCTTACCCGATGTGATATCGATTAACCAATGGCTATAAATGGAATTGATAAGATATGATACCCTGTTGGAGTCTAACCACTAGCTTTTAGGACACTTTTAGTATTGATTTATTGTAGCTAAAGGCAATTGTAAATTTCTGTTTCGCCCAAGTTGAAAAGTTCAACAAGTTAGCCCAACCTTTGCGATTTTTTCCTGACCCTCAACCACCCTCAACCAGGTACTTGAAATATCTAGGCCTAAAAGGCTTGCATACGCTGCTAAGCAGGAGCCTGAATGTTGAAAGAAATAAGTACAATCCATGGAATCTCCATCAGATTAGGTACTTCTTTACCTCTTTTGCCTGCAATGATGGTTGTGATTATTGAGCGGTTTATTTTGACTTGCTCGGATGGATGGTCCGGGAATAATACGGAATTTATGAAGTAATCTTACTATACACTCAACAATGTAAATCACATGAAACCAAAACTACTAGGTAAAGTGACACAGTTTACAGATTCCAGAAATTGTCGTTACTTACAGTAGTATAAAAATCTATGGTTATGTATTTTAGCGGCTTGAACATGATCCTTTTATCTGCTTTTCTTGATATATATCTAAAGAAGACTTGCATCACCTGGTCTTATTCGAGCTTCTTTTGAAGTCGTCGTTTTCAAAGTCGCCGTTTTGACCTCTACGATTTTGAATTCTTGTTGAGACGGAGAAAGACGCGCCCCTTGTATTTCTCGCTTGTTTCCCCTGGCTTGCACCGCAATGACTCGGAATACGAAGTAAGCACGTGCTTTGCTGACTCGTATGAAAGATGTTGGGATGACTTTCCAGCTTCAAGCTCCCAAGGGCAACCCCCTTTCTTTCCCCATCAACAACAATCATGCTTCAGCCACAGCTTCTTGGTCCTTCTGGACTGGCATATACAAGCCGCTGCAGAACATCGAAAGGTGCCCTCTGTTTTTCTTATAGCCCCCATGGAGGGGTGTCAAAGAGTTAGGCCTCTTTTGTTCCCTGTCGTCGGTGGTTGTTTAAATCAGCTATCGCGATTATACGCTTCAATTGCGTTTTCAGTCAAATCATTCGGCACAAAAATATTGGGTTTCGAAGATATATAGTGAAGGAAGGTGTAAGAGACACCGAGAAGAAAAGAAGGACATCAACCATCATTGATTGCGCCTAGCAGTGGCAACTAGAGCGAACATCCACATCCAAATCAAACACAAAAGTAAGCACTGCGTGTCCCTCTCGAATTCAATCTCCAGTTCGCCTCTACTTTACTAACATCCACTTCAGAAAGCCAATCCACAATGTCGGGCAAACTCCCCGCCGAGATCCTTCAAAGCATCTACCTTGAATGTGGTATTCAGGAGGCCCTGAATCTGGCACAAACATCTAAGACGAATTACCATATTTTCCATGCCTACCGAATGCCAATTTTACAAAAAACCACCCACAACTCGTATGGACCACTGCGTGAACTGGTCCAACTTGCTATCAGCAACGAGCCAGAGAAGACTCGGAGGCCCATGGGCACTGAGCTTCGTCGCAACAACACAGTCAATCGCATAATAGAAATCGCAGATACACCAAAGCTCACCATTGATCTCATCAAAAAGATGGTAAAATATGGGAGGATCGCTGAGAGTTGGACGGAGGTCTATCCAAGACTCCGGTGGCGATTTGGCTCGAGCAATCGTCGATTGCTTCGAAGGCCGGAGAAGGAAAGACTTCGCAGAGCGGTATATATATGGTGGTGCTACACGAATCTTTTCCATGACCAAACATATACCCAATTTGCGCCTGATGCTCCTGTAGCATCGTCGCAAGACGACCCGCGTCTTCGCCTTCTGCGGACGTATCCCGGCACCTCCCTCGCCCAGCTGAGCGAGTTTCATTTTCACATCATGCAGGTTATAGAAATCGATCTGTACCCATCCAACCAAGTCGTCCTTGATCATTACTCATACAACCTACCATGGAAAGCACTCGAGAAACTGGCTTGGGGAGACAGAGGAAACGAATACTGGAGGCTTGTCCGTGGTATCATGAAGTTCAATCCAAGGGATCTTCTTCATCTTGTCGAGCATACAAGCACCAAAACTCAAAGAGCGGATTTTCTCGAAGGGCAAGGTGCGTACTTCAAAGATACGCCAGAAACCTTGAACGATACCCTTCGGCTCATCACGGTTGAACGAGCCAACGAGGCAAAAGCACAATCCGACATGTCGAAGAAGGTTCCTTACTGTCCTTCGCTTGCAATGGTACGGGACGGTCCACAGGAAGACATTGAGTACTGGGGTGGACATGAGACTGGGATTGTAGATGTTTGCCAGACTGAAATGGCTGAAGCAGACGCACGACGCTCCGCCAACATCAAATATGCTGGATCACGATTGTCAATAAGTCCCCGCGGGCTAGGGGTACTGTTTATTGATGCAGGAATTGAAGTTGGGTTTAACTGAAAGTATTTCATTGTGCTTTATTCTCATGGTGGATTGGGCTATATTTAATATTTTCGTGGTTTCTTTCTTCATTTTTTGCTGCCGAGCGGACCATAGAACCAGAGACAAACCCAAATCGATTATTGTCCATTTTTCCGTTATTCTTGTGATTTGAGCGCCTTTGCTGCTCATTGAGCAAGTGCTACTCATGCTTGAATCCGTAGGCGTTGAACGAGGCCCCGGATCATCTGATGATGCCTGTTCGCTTCCCAGTCACATCTCCGTCCCGTCCTCAATACCTCAAAAGAGCTCCCACGGTTCGATAGCCCTTAATGGTACTGTACTATTTATGGGCACCCAGGACAACACTATGCTTTCGACGATGGTGTCCAATTGCGAGTTCCAACCTTGCCAAGAGAAATTCGAAACAAACAATAGGAAGGAGCTGTCACAAACTGACGGTTTCCAAACAGACTAGCCACCCGCACGGTCGGATGCATCACAGCACAGCTGATGTGGCCAGGTCGAAAAGACTTCTTGAGGTTGAAGAAGTCCTTCTCCATTCTCAAGTATTCCTTGGAAGAAGTCTTTCCAATTCATTTGACGATAAGGAGGAGAAATGTTCCCAAATGGCATCAACCGCCGATATGCGATCTTCGCAGGCTTTGTACTAGTTATGCTATGGCTCTGGGTAGCCTTCGATCGACCATACAGTCTTCCGTCACATTTTTCCTGGAATCCGTACTCTAACACTGGCCAAAGTGATTTAGCGAAAGACATCTTCGATTTCCCCGCAATCGAATCCAATGCTATCCGTGAGGTATGTGGGAGAACTGAATGGAATTCGAGTGTTATATTCACATGCGATAATAACCATGGAGGTGTGGGACACGTTCGAAATTCCATTTTGAACTGTGTTCGTTTTGCCATCTCCGCTGGAGCAGGCCTGGTTTTACCGAACATTGCTCTGAGAGACATGGAAGACGATACTGTTATAATATGGGATGAGCCAGTACAGGAGCCGATGAGAAAAAGACATGGACCAGGACGAAGGGGCATGGAGCATATGTTTGACGTCCCGCATTTCCTGGAATCTCTTCATTTGTCGTGCCCAAAAATGCCCCTTTTTGAAGACATGGGAGACAGTTTTGGTGGCCGTCGAAGAGGCCTTTTACCTGAAAGCTTGGTGGATAATCACCCTACATCCGGACTAGAACACCCTGAGCAGTGGAGGAAAATGTTTTACGGCTGGGTGGACAAATATATGGTCAAACCATCAGATTACACGAGGGACGAGCCCATAATCGTCGATCTCGACCAATCTTTCCTTGTGTATCCAACGCATTCCGACAGCCATGAATTCGCTCATGATTTTGGGAAGATATTGAAGTTCCGCGAAGACACACGCAGACTCGCAACAGCTGCTCTGGTAGAACTACTTGAGTGGCATGATAGCGATGGGGACATTCGAGATCCTATCATGAATCCCTCTTTCTTCGGTGCGCACATTCGTACTGAGCCGGAAGTATCACACGAATCAGATCTGCTTCGCCGTCACGATACGCCGCAACCTTTTATGGAATACAATGCTCAAGCTACCGCTTACTTGACACAAGCCCAAGAGGGCAATATGTCTATTATCTACGCTACTTCCGGAAATCTTTCTAATATGGCACTTCTTAGACATCATGCCATGCATTGGGATATCGAGGTCACACATAAATTCGCCTTACTCAAGGACAACCATCGTGATGAGTTAGAGCGTCTTACATGGGATCAACGAGCATTGATAGACTTCATGGTTTTGACCAAAGCTCAGTCATTCGGTGGAGTGGCACATTCATTCTTTTCTTGGAATCTGGCATTGAAGAGACACCAGCTAGCCAAAGAGGCCGGCCTGGAAAAAGATGGAAAACACTCGACATTCTCAGGAAAGGGGGTTTTGAGTGAGGATGGCACTTGGAGTGATGGTTTGAGTCACATATATGGCAATAGAAAGAGCTATTTTGAGAGCTCGAAGTGTATGTGGGAATGAGCTGGCTGGGCTGGCCTTTCTTTATAGCCAATTTTATGATTTAACGACTGAGTACCTGATTACTTGAGTACCTCAATTTCATTCGATGTTTCGCAGTCGAGATCATTCTTTTGAAACTTAAGAAGGGCAGCAAAATAACCAATTTTGATGCGAACATATTTTGGCCTGTCTTGCAGTAGACAAAAAGAGCAACAGTAAACCATTTGACAATGTTCTTCCTCCCAAAGTCAATTATAGACGTCTACCCCTAGGGCAATTACTCTTATTATTCTACAATTATTAATTGATCACTTCGAAGTTGGAGTATTCCAAATCATTGAAGTAATTGTATTCTTCATATTCAAATTAACTTAGATTAACAGAAAAATTCATCTGAGACTTTTCTTGCCTACTGTGAGCATCGGGCGAGTTCTTAGCGAGATTGGACCCCTCCTCTCAACTAAAGTCAAGAGCTGAAGTGAATGAACGTAGCTACCGCCATATATGCTTATACGGTTTGATAGGTTGCTTCGAGAGTTCTCTCAACAATTCTCCCGACAGTATCATTGTCACTACTCCGCCCATTTTCCAGACAGATTCCTCCCTCTTCGCTTATGGGTGTTTTTTCTAGCAAACCGGTCCAACCGGTTGCCATTCCTTCCGATACGGTGGTTGAATTGGGTCCTACAGGCGATACGAGAATTCTAAGACCAATGGTAATCGACTTCACTTTATGCTTTGACGAAGTGCTGGACCCGAAACGATTGCGTGGCTCGTTAGAAGCACTCTTCAACCATGGAAATTGGCGAAAGCTTGGGGCTAGGTTGCGACTGAATGTCCGTACATACTTCGAAATGGCTTGGGTGGTGATAGCTGATCTGCGGTTTCTTTGCAGGATAGAGGGAGGCTGGAGTACCACTTCCCAGCCAAGTTTGACGGAGAGCGACCCGCATTCAGCTACACTCACGTCGAGATGAGCTGCAATATCAAAGAGTACCCTTTGGCTTCTCAGATCCCCAAAGCGACGCCGGTTCCTACACTGCAACCGGACTGTGCCATGTTTCGTAGTCTCTCTCGGGATAGCCATAGCCCAAAGAGATTGGAAGACTGGCTAATCTCCGACATACCCCAACTCTACATTCATATTGTCTCCCTTTCCGACGCTACCATGGTCGCCATGACAGCTATGCATACCTTCCTAGATGCCAATGCGCGTGTCGAGCTCGTTAAAGCTTGGGTAATGTCATTGAATGGACGACTCAACGAAGTCCCAGAGATTTATGGTTTCGACTTCGATCCTCTCGAAAAGCTAGGCAAAATGGCAACCGAGGAATCAGTTCTCGAGCGCCATCGTACAACCGACTTTGGTCTCTTCTGGTGGCTTGCCAAACTCATAATCCAATCCCTGTTTTGGAAGCAAACTATCAGAACAATCTGTATCTCACCTGCGGCGCTGAAGAAACTCAAATCACAAGCTCTCACGGAAGTTCAAGCTTTAGATTCGAAAGCCTTCTTAAGTGACGGAGATATAATTAGTGCATGGTGGACAAAATACGCAACTCTCCATCTCGCCAAATCGAAGGACAGGACTGTCACCATTGTGAATGCATTTAGCATGCGTCCTCTTCTCGAAAAGCCATATCCAAATCCTGATTCTACACCTCTTCTTCCAGAGGGCAAACCTTGCCGTAAGACTCATTCTAGTGTCTCTTTATGACCACATCTGCTTCTGTGCCTGTCTTGATTCTTCAAAAATTAGTTTGAAATGGGCTGCTGACCCCGACATGTTGCACAGTCGCGTTATCATCAGATGCAATCTACACACTCATTCGAGCTCATGAAATCCTCGCCAAACCGTTGAGCCACACAGCTCTTGTCATAAGAAAGTCCATTCAAGAATAGAGTACGAGAGCACAAGTTGAAGCAATGGCGGCTATGTTACGGAGCAGCAAAGTCCCACTTGTTTATGGAGGTAGCAAATCTAGCATGTTGGTTTTGTCTAATCGGTCGAAAGCAAAGTTCTACGATGTTTTTGATTTCTCAGGGGCTGTTGTGAAGGTGGATGAACACCTATCCAAGCCGATAGAACGTATTGGTCGGCCTGCTTTCATATATGCTCTAAGTATAATTAGCGGTTTGAGCGTTCGGGATAATGCCGTGTTCGAGGGACCGGATGGCATGGGGAACCTTTGGTTGACAGCGACAATGGATGAAGAAAATTGGGCTGGGGTACAAGAAGCTATTCATCGAGAGTGGGAAGATGCGAAGTAGAGCAGAGCTCCTATCTCATTCGATTTGCTAAGGCCTCATGGAGTTAGCTAGTTTCCTGCTGCGGGTGCCTCGTAGTAGACGAGATATTTGGTTGTGAAAGGCGTCATTGTTTTAACTTTTCAGCTTCAATTCCTGGAAACTAATTTAGACAGATAGAAAGATTCACACGATTAATTGATCATTCTAAGACAATTGAAGTGATCATGTTGAATATCAAGGTGTAGGTCAATCGCTCATAACCTGTAGAATTGCGAGGAAGGTGAAACAAAGGGAGATATAATTACTGCCACTTTGCTTGGACACAGGGTGCTACTGCAACTATGCCTGGTCTAAATCGTTGCAATTTACTGTAAATGAAGAGACTGTATGTAGCCGACTTTCGGTTCCGAGAACGTGGGTGCATATTAGCCGACCCTGAACTTCAAACTCTCGTCAAGCTCGATTTGGGATACATGTTAACAGCCCATATACTACTAACAGTAGCCCATCAATCCTGTTTGGTTTTATCTTAATTGTCTGCCAGAAATCCTCCAGCCCATTGGATCAACTAGTATCTGAGCTTGCCAGAAAGATTCTGTTTAAAACCCCAGCTTGGTCCAACGTAGAAGGATGAGTTTTTATCTCTCTGCAAATAGTCACAACAACGGGAACTAGTGAAGTTACTTGCTACCACCCCGCTCCACTTGATTCTTCTATTGGTGTTAATTAATTCCCGATTTGTCTTTAGGCAGACCAAACTTCGGTCCGTTATAAAGTCAATAAGCATTTAGCCGTGTGGTTCCGATTACCGGGGGGAGAAACCTATATATGTACAACCAAAGACTCCCAGACTTCTTTTTCTTACGAGGGGGATACTTATGGTGACTCAACCGCTCACTTTGAATTTACTGAAAGTATGTTGATGGTAGCCATGAATGGCTTTCTGGCTGTGGCCGCTTTTCTTTCTTTGGCTCTTGCTGTGCCCAAATCCCCTCTTAGCCCGAAATGCCCTATCATCCTCGACGGTCGGATACCCAAAGATACGCCAGTTTCGACATTTGATACGGATGCCTCGCCATTCGACCCCAAATATACCAAGGGACAAAACCTTACCTGGTCCCAGATAATCAAGTATCCAAGAGTGGCTCCCTCGAAGTTTGACGATGAGGTCAATGCAAGACCAATCGAGGTGACCATAAACGATCAATCACTTTTCGCCTCCGGTGGCACCAACGTCCAGTACGGATTCCGCCGGGCAGGTCTTCTCTTGGGTAACGGCTCTGATGCCAGCAACACTGGAATCAGAACTTTCCATTGGAGTATTCGTCAAGATCCAAGCCGAAAGTTGAATCTGACTCATGAGTATATGCTTGTTTGGCATGAAGCGAATGATTTTGCCAGCAACCAATGGAGTCTAAATGCGGGAATCTTGCTTGAGCAGGACAAACCCAAGGATACGAACGGATCCACGACTGGATTGGATAAGAGTCTGTGGAAGATTTTGGATCGCAAGAACAATGTTATCTGGACAGGTTTGATCGACTTGTACGGATGGGAAAACTTTGGAATACTCATGGACCACGAGAAGAAGTGAGTTCATTCTTTTGTGTCTTCTCGTAATGAAGCTGGCAACTGACCAACGTCAGCACTATTCAAGTCTTCTACTCAAAGGGTTACTACCCTCTTCAATCTGTCACCAAATCGATCTCAAATGACAACAGTGGCGGAGGGCAATTCCAGATTGGGGTGCTGAAAAAGCCAACCGAAACCGAGAGTGTGGTATTTGATGGCTTCCAAGAAGCAGGCATCGATGAGGGCCAGATTTATGGTGGTATTTTCGTCGAGAATAGTGCTCAAGATTGTATTTCTGGCAGTGAATTTCAGAGTCATATCTAAATCAATTCCCAAAATATCCAGTGTAAGATGCCCCTACTGTCCACTGAATACTTGAATATAGAATGAAAATACATAAGGTCTTGCAAAGAAACAATCCAAATAACTTATTCCACCAAATTCGTGAATACGGAACCTCCTAATGCATGCTCTCTTGAATATTTGAAAGAAGCTAATGATTGATTTGACTTCACGGGACAGTAAGATTTACCTTCTATTTTCCCGTGGATTCGCGTAGCCATGATAGCGATGGCCAAGATCACGAATTACTCATTCAACCTGCATCTGAACTCTGCAAAACACAATCCTGTAACTAAGTCTATCAAAGATAGTAGTGCGACGGCGGATACTGCTTCGGTAGCCAAAGAGTCCATGAGAGCCTCAAGAGCAAGAAATTATAGCATGTCGCAGCAAGCAGGCGCAACGAGAATACAGAGAACACAGCAGCGCCACGCAGTGAATATTTGAGCACTCCACCAAATTAACTGATTTGCAATCTGCGAGTAGACGCCTGATAGCAACTTGACGGCAAGGACTGACTGTCTGCGACAGCGGTCGCGTGGACTTGAAGTAGCCATCGCGAATACCAAGAAAAAGAACAGTAATTCAACGTTGCGTTCAAACCGGGCACTGATTCTGCGGCAAACTCATACTCCAATACTCAAGATACTTAGATACTTAATCTCGAGATCGAAAGAGACTGCACAGTCAGACCTTGTCGCAAGAATCCTCATTTTCGCCAAGTCGCGACCAGATGTTCAAGCAAAACAAAAGCCAATTGCTTCTGCTTTGCGATATACAACGCGACAACCACGAGCAACAATATAGCAAAAGAAAGGCTAGATATAACACATACAATTCTACTCTGGTAGAAAAAAATGGCAAAACTTAAGGTCACGGCGTAGATACCGTGGCTTAAGAAAGCCCCTCACACACCCTCACACACCCTCACCCCCTAACGGGCGTTTATTGGGAATTTTTTCAGAACTGAGGACTGCTGTATTATTGCACATCTCAGAGAAATGCACCTCCCCGCAAGTTAGGGCTATCTTTTAAGTAGTTTCTTTTTTTGGTAGCGGACTTCGTTTATTATGTGGAGCTACGAGCATTAGCCAGTGAAGCCGAGAGAGAGAGAGAACTTACCAAGAGCTATTGAAGCTCGGGCGGACCATTTAGGACTTTTCTTTTTCTTTTTCTCTCCCTTTGGCAAGCATGGAATGCGACCGGATGCAGGTGTGCGCGTCAACCGTTAGGTCAGATGAGAGGTTTTTGTGTGTCGAGTGCCTTTTGGTGATGGACGAATTTGTTAACGCAGGGTAAATAGGTATGCGGTAGCTTCTTAGCAGTATCTGTGTGCGCCGAGGTTACAGCGAGCCATTCAGGTTCGAGTATTGCGTTGAAGTGATTATGAAAAAGTGAGGGCATTTGCTTAGTGAGGTACGAGTAGCGCCGACGTCAATAAGCAGCACATCACCACCACTTAATTTCAACCTCAGTTTTCGCCGCAGAAACTCCTGGCTCAGTAAGAGCTGGTTGGTTTGGTACGCAAATTTCTCGCAGTGCCATTTCAGAGACCTTGTGCAAGATACTCTCTAATCAAACGGCCAGCGCCAGCTGGGCATACAGATTCATGGATACAGAGCCCATTTCCTCCAATTGAAACAGACACATGTAGGACTATTTACTATTTATCTTGGAAACTGCAGTTCACTCGAAGATTGCACGCTAGATTCGGGAATAGGAACGATTCAGGTGGCTCATCCGCCAGGCAGCAAATACCAATATCCAGTCAACCATCTGGTAAGTACTTTAAGCTGTTCTCTTGGATTTTTGCTTTGATAAACCGCTGATTTGTATAGGCAAACGATGGACATGAAGTAAATTCGATTTTAGGCTGTACATAGCCACAACCTTCTTATCATAACTCGTTCGGACACTTCTCAAAGATACTAAACATACGCAGCATATACATCAATAAGAATAGCTGAACTACCACTGGCTCGTTGCGATCAATTCTAATAAATTCGTTCCTCTTGTACCTACGAAAAGGAGCCATGGTTGTAGGATGATGCGGGCCGAGAAGATTGAGTAAATCGCGCAAGATTCAAGAGACCACCACCAGCGAGGGACAACCTCCTTGTTGCGATTTTCGGTTTGTCGTAGAGCCAGGAGCGTGCATGGGAATTGTGAGTTGTATGCTGAGGGCGAAGAGACCAGGTCGCGGCGCGAATCAAAATGTGCGGGCGTGGTTGGAGCAGAGTAGTAATTGTGGGTGTCCATCCGGCCGCAAGTAGTGCAACATGCCTATACATCGTTGGTAACAGTTTCGCGAAGGGGGAATAAGTGATATTTTAGCGTGATTTGCTAAGATACATCAAGAAGTGGAATGCGCCATGGCTGTAATTTTACAAGGGTGTAGGTGTTTATTGACTTCAAGACAAGATTTTCTATGGTATAACAATGCGCCTCCGTTGACTCCAAACGCCTTAATGACTCGGACCACACCAAATACTCACGCAAACAACTTGCCTGTATCAAGCTCATCAACAGGAATTGTCCTACCGCCACTAGTTCTAAGACCCAATTCCCCTTTCTTTGCCAGTCTCTCAATTCCCTGCTCCGCGCGTTGGCTATACCTCCCGGCCTTCTTTTGTCGAATTTCACTCCTGACTTGGTTGGGACTAACGAACTCTTTGTTCTCGTAAATAATGGGCCCTCCAAAACTGCCTTCTTGAATTACGATCGGTGTGAGGACAAATCTAGGCCCAATCTCCACCAAACTAATCTCTGTTTCCCTTCCATGCTTTTGTTTTGGTTTCGAGTCGGCTTCTGAAGCTGATGTGGTTTTTGGTGGTTCCGACTCGTTGATTTGGTAGTTTCTAATCCAGATCTTGCCATCCGCGAGAGTGAAACCCATCACATGGTCGACAAACGGCTTGGCCTTTCGAGCGCCTTTAGGAACACCGAAGATATGGAAGAAAAGCTCTTTCAACACGCGTAGGTGAGGCTCTTTATCGAAGGACGCGTCGAAGGAGAGGATCGGACGGGAGCCTTTGAGGCAGTTACCAGTGAAATGAAGTTCTTCCATGGTGTGTACTGGGAACTGTTAGCCTTGAAATCAGGAAGACAGGGGGAAAATCGCACAGTTCTGCATATGCATCTTGACTGTAGGACCATTGGGTGCTTTGCTCATCCATAGGTACAAATCCTTGCCTTTCCGTGCTTCGAAGAATAAGACATTATTGCAGTTGTATAATTCGGCCAATTCATTGAGCTGATACAGCTTGGATTTCGTATCAAGTTTGGCATCCTTGCGACTATGAGGTAGTAGAGAAGCGATGTCATTCAAGAGATGCCGGTGCCTATGTTTTCAGTAGTTAGCTCCTATGCTTCGTGGTGGTGTTATGGTGTTGGGTTTCAGCTACCTATAAGTGATTCCTCTCGAGGACAAAATCAATACTCTCTGCTTATTTCTTTTGATGCCATTCGCAGGTGTATCCTCCTCTTTGTGACCATTGGTCTTCGATAGTGATTTGTAAACTGAAGCCATTGCGTTGTTTAGTTTCCGCGGATGCTGTCGCAAAGTCGTGCAGAGCTCGAACTTTTTTTGGAATTTCTCGATAGCAGCGGCGGGGGTAGCGGCTGCGCTTGTCCAATCGTAGACTAGCGCCTGATGGAAACTCTCAGCCTCGCGCATGCCAACTACCCAGGTATTGGAACTTCCAATTGGACTATGGCTACCCACCTTTGTGCAGAAGTTCAAGTTCTATGAAACTTATATACAGTGAAAGCAGCGATACCCCAAGTGTCAAATCCACGAAAACTGTGCAGAAGTGATGAAGGACAAGCACAATATTTCAAGCAAGATCACATGTATCATGTTTGCATCACAAGTCGTCGTTGCACATAATACAATTTCTAAAAAGGCATTAAGAGAACATCTGATTGAATAAGCAGCGCATGGCAGTCTTCAGGTTACATAAAACCCTATCCCAAAAAGGGAAACCACCACAGAAGAACCGCGACCAAACAAAACCGAAAAAGACAACCTTGAAAATGAGGAAGAAGCATCAGAGGCATAAGATCCCTATAGACAAACCAACCGAACCTCTTGTGGGTGCAGTATATGAAAGCCTTGAACCTGAATTTCGTGACTACCCGCAAATGCTCCTACCAATAACATGTAACAGACGCCTTGCCTTGTATCAATCAACTAGAATATGTCCACGCAGCATAAAGAACCCCTAGCAACATTTGCCACCCTTGGCTGCGCCATCGTCAGCAGGCTTGCTGAGCGAGATACCCTCGCGGGGTCCTAGGTTGGCTTGTGCAGCGTCGCCGTTATCGAGTGCCTTGCTAGAGACAATTCGGTAGATTTCTGTGGCATGTCAGCACGCTACATTATCGGGGGACAAGGTAGGTGTGTACCTGTAAGAATATTCTGGAAAGCAAGTTCTACGTTGCTGGCATCGAGAGCTGAAGTTTCAATGAATGAGAGGTTGTTTTCGCCTGTTGAGGATGTCAGCATTGATTTTAGCGTCAGTACTCATCAACATACTTGCAAACTGTTTTGCTTCTTCAGTAGGCACCGCCCGTAGATGTCTCAAATCACTCTTGTTTCCCACCAACATAATGACAATATTGGAATCGGCGTGATCTCTCAGCTCTTTCAACCATCTTGTTACATTCTCGTATGTCTGGTGTTTGCTGATATCGTATACGAGCAGAGCTCCTACAGCGCCTCTGTAATATGCAGATGTGATGGCACGGTATCTCTCTTGCCCAGCCGTATCCCAAATCTGTGCCTTGATGGTTTTCGCATCAACCTGAATCGACCGGGTTGCGAACTCGACGCCGATGGTGGATTTGGAGTCTAAGTTGAACTCATTTCGTGTGAATCGACTCAATAGATTGGATTTACCAACGCCGGAATCTCCGATCAGGACCACTGATATCGAGTTAGCATCGATTCCGAGAGGAGTAGCAAGCTCGAGGCGGGGATGAAATATAAAAGAGCAGGCGGCAGCAGGTGGCGGTGGGGTTGAAGCTCACCCTTGAAAAGGAACTGCAGAGAGATATTGTCAGCAACGAGGGATTTGGAGGCAGGAGACAGGTGGGGAAGAGGGGCTCATACGTCGTATTCGTCATTCGCCATGATTGCAGATGGGAGGAATTTATGGTGGTAGTGTCTGAAGAAACAAGATGCTCAAGATGGTGGTTGTCGCAATCGTGCCTGACGCTTTGTGTTGGCGAGAGGCTTGTGCTTGCAGGTGTGCAGTGGCTGAGAGAGAGGGAGGTTGCCTTTGCCTTGGCGCTACCTGTATTGGATTTGGGGGGGATGCGTGGGAGCGAGGGAGGTCAGGGGGTCAAGTCAAGGTTGATTGTGTTTCACCGTTGCAGTACCAGTACCTCTGCACGCTCTGGTGCCAAAGTTCTGGGTTTTATGATTCACGGCCGCTCATCCAACTGGAGTCAATCCAGACGCCTTTTTTCCAATCACCTTCGAGGGACAACTGGATGTTTCAAGTGGCTCTCTGAGCCTCTGACATCCAAGAGGCGGGCCCTCGCGCCAAGACCTGAGGCCATTGAAAGTTTCCAAGGTTGTGGAGAAATACATGTCACGTGAATACGCGCATACCTTAGGGCTCTCCTCGCGGCGGGGGTGATAATCAGTCAAAAGGTACGAGTACCGCTTATTGATTCCACGGGTGAATGAGAACGCTTTCACGCAACCACAGGGCAAACCCAAGGCGGCGAATCCAATTAGGGCAAGGCTGCAAAGCCCTAATCTCCACCTCTAAATTGCCTCGTCCCCACACAAATTTTCTTGTCGCAACCTTCCACGCAAACAGCTAGACTCCACCTCGTCAAGTCGTCCACCACCTCTATTTACTTGACCTTGTCCAAACCTCTTCTCTCTTGACCTTGTCAATACTTCTACCTTCTCGCAACACTCCAATCCACCTTTTCGCAAGCCGCCCTCTGCTGTTCTGCGACAATTGTCGAGTCGACTCGTCTTGTCGCCCTGCCCTCCTGGTTTTTTATTGAACCTGCGTACCTGTATCTAATACTACCTATGTTCTGATCAACCACAATGTTTCGCAAGAGCGTGCACCCGCCACCGAAAGCGGCCGCGCCGCCTGAGGATGACAAGTGAGTTTCTTTATCTGTTGATATTCTCCCTATATCGCAAGTCTCTTAAGAGACCTGTTCCCGCGCGTCGCAACGATGTTCCTTATGGCTCACGCAAGGTCTAAATAATTGCCTCGAGAAGTTCCTACCTGCAATATTCCTCACCCCAGCAGGATCTCCCGTATTTCCTTATCCTTCTTGAACAAGTAACTGACCATGTTGCACAGTATATCGCTCACCTCTACCCAAGAGAGCGTTCACTCGGATGGGCATCAGTTTGTCGTAGATCGAATCCTGGCTCAGAAGATCGAAAATAAGAACCGCATGTACCTCATTCTATGGGAAGATTACCCGCTCCATCGCGCCACTGTAAGTTACCCTTCGGACTTGTTTTTGAATCTTACCCAATTTTCAATGTTTTGAAAATCTGGGTCATTCTTCCCGCCTACCCTCGGCTCGTGATTCTAGTCTAACATATTGCAGTGGGAGCCCAGAGGCAACATCGTTGATCACCGGATTTTCGACGAGTGGACAAAGAGAAGAGCGAAAGAGCTACGAGGCGACGAGCAGCCCTTTGATGTCGCAGCTTTCGAAGCACAACTTGATAGACTAGATCGCGAAAAGGAAGCACGTCGAAGTCGACGCAAGCTCAAGAAAAAACGCTTAGGCTTGGCAAAACAAGCTGGATCCAGCCAGGCGCAAGATGAGGATTCCTCAGACTCGTCTAGCGATGAAGCATTGGAGCATGATGAAGTCACCGATTACAAAGGTACCAGCAGACCACCAGCCAATCCTCATCGCCCAAAATTACCCTCTGGTTCCAATAAAACATCTGTCTTACAAAACACGCAAAACCCATCTACGAAGACAATTCCTTCAAGCAAGTCCGCTTTACCTGATAAGGCGGCTTCTTCGAGCAAGCCACTACTCCTAAATCAATCATCTACCTCCACCTCAGACTCAGATGCTCCCCAAGCGGTAAAACGCCGAAAGGCAGATGACAAGATCTCCAATTTGCAAAGCAAAAGCGGGTCTTCAAACATGCAATCCAAGCCCTCAACGTCTCGAGAAATGGGCGCGGTCAGAGGAAAGTCGGCTTATCCAAACGTTTTTGCGCGTCGATCTCCTCCACGAAAAGACGGACGAAGAGGCACTCTTGCAGAAAAAGCAGCCGATCCTAGCAAGGGACAATCCCACTTCAAAAACCTACATTTGGTCAATAAAGCAAAACTCTCCGCGAAAGACAGAGTAGAAGCCACAGCACCGGACGTTAGTGTTGTTGGTGGGCTGTTCAAGCCAGGAGAGGGAGGCCCCCAATTTGACCCGTTGAAAGTACCAAGGCGCTCCTCGGAAGCCTTTTCACAGACCCGTGCCTTTGAGAATGTGGGCGCCAGTATGTTGGACAGACCTGCATCGTCAGTGGCTTCGACGGTTCTCGATCGGAACTTTTCGAGGTCGGAGACTACATGCTATTACTGGCATGCGGGGAATGGAGCTAGCGGAGCTTGCAGGCGTTACTTCATGTGCGATTTCATGCATGAATATCGGCCAGGTCATCCAATTGCCCCTAAGCCAGGCTTCCTGTACGAAGAAACCCCACCGCAAGTCCAAAAACCAGCTGAATTGAGATGCTTCTTTTATGTCAAAAAGGGTGATTGCAAATTTGGAGATTCTTGTTCAAAATTGCACTCTGACGATGAGTCAATTCCAGTTGCACCCAACCCAAACAGAAAAAACGAACCATGCAAGTACTGGCTAGCAGGCAATTGCAGGTACTCCAAGGACGAATGCGTTTTCCATCACGAAGACACCGAAGACAACCGAGCACCTATTCGAGCTGATTTTGAAAGAGATGCACATGTACCGGAAGTGCAGTCTTCCACCCCAGTAGCCAGAAGGGTCAAAATATGCCCACATTTCTCAACCGGGAAAGGTTTCTGCAGATACGGCCTTGCCTGCAAATTCAGACACGAGCGTCCTGAAGAGCCAACACCAAAATCTGGCAGCCTTGAAAAATCAGTCTCTTTTGCAGCGGATGAGCAGTTGGAACTGTTTGAGGAGCCCCAATCTATCATTAACGATGAAACTGAGCAGCCACGTCGGGCCCAAGACAAATCCGCAATGCCACCTCCTCCCGCTTTCACTTTAATCGCATCAAACCCTCCAACTATTGGAGATGGATCTGAACAGTCTGGTCGTGCTCAAGATCAGTCGTCTATGCTGCCTCCTCCCGCTTTCAATTCAATCGCATCAAAGCCTCCAACTGTTGGACATGTATCTGAACAGTCTGATCGGGCTCAAGATCAGTCGTCTATGCTGCCTCCCCCAGCTGCCGATTCGACAACATCGAAGCCTCAACGAAAAAAGATTAGCATCTCGGATTACACCCGACAGAAAGCCCTTTCAAATCTTGGCGCCCGCGCTAAGAAGTTCATCTTTGGTAGCGATAGCAGCTTTTTCCTTGTCATGGACATAGGTGACTTGGGCGATAAAGCAAAGGAGTCCTGCGGCTTGTTTCTGGCTCCTCTCACGGATATCACGCTAGATCAGGAAGTTATGGGCAAAGACTTAGCGGGGGTTATGTTTCTCATAGGCCAAGCATTAGATGGATATCTCGTTCCGCGCGACAATAATGATGAAGCAGCAACTATCATTGACAAGGTTGTGAAGTATTGCCTGCTCCATTGTTGTGGTTTACTTTATTCCTCTCAGGGTTTCTACATTATTGTCTTCCCGGCGAGGTCTGCTGATTGGGGGTTTCTCTCGCTCGATCAATGTCCCAACGACGTACAGTTGAGATATATTGTTTTCAAAACAGAGTCGAACATTGGAGCCTGCCTCGAGATACCAGCAACGAAATCTACAATTTCGCAGACGGCCACACCTCAAAGTGACGCGCTCAACAACAACACACCCACGAACCACCAAAACAATCTTGGTGATCTCGTACACAAAATCTACGTCGATGAGATAGCCCCACGCAACCATAGCGAAGTAGCTTTCTTCTTTATATTCCCCACTTCGGCAGCAACGGTAGCCAACTTTGTCGCTGAGTGCCTGAGGCGATCGCACAGCAACTGCAAGTTCTATTCTGGAGGTTATCGGGAATGGAAATCCTTCCTCATCGCCGATACGTTCACCCATGGTTCGATCATCATGCACGATGATTTAGCTTGTCATGTCGACCACATACCACATGTGCAAAAGACATTGGCATCCCACCTTTTCAGGAAACCTGGCGAGAAAAAAAAGCAGTACTCTTGGTGGTCTATCACGGATGGACATCAAGCTGGAGGAGATATTAGCTTACTCCCAGATACCCATGCGCGTCCCGAGGAGGAGCGAGGTCCACTTGAGTCCGTAAACATCTTCCCATTTGGAGCCGCCATCCTCCTTACTCAGAGTTTTCTGATCGCCGAACCAAAAAGAGTCTACGATATATTAAAATGGTTTTTTGGGAAGGTTGAAAACGGTCGCCATATCGAGGGTCAAATGGCCAAAGATTACTGGAAAATCGTTGTGCCTCAAGGCATTGTCCAATACATGTACGATTTAGCTTGTGCTAAAGACGTAGAAAGTACCCGATATCTTGAAGAAAACCAACATAAGCCTTCGAGAGAAGCTGACGCCGAGAAGATGGGACTAGGGTATGCCACTTGCGCTTTGAGGTTCGAAATATATTCATATTTGGCAGACCTGAAGCACCTGGGCGTGATAGAAAACCCAGATAACATCTGGCCACATTACTGTCCCACTGTGGGAGAGGTCGAAAACGAGACTATTAGCCCGTTCATCTTTCCCCCATTATGGATCCATACTCATGACGAAATTGACTTGGTACATTGGTTTGCATGTTGGAGTAGCACAAGAATCGATAGTTATCGAAAAATTGTTGTCATAGGTACGAATTCAATGAGTCGCCACAAGCTCCAGCGGCTGGTGAAGGTCCCTATTGGAACCGAGATTCCTGAGGAACCCGCTTATAGGGATGGCTCGCTACAGACAGAATTTGTACCACCGCTAGAGATACAAGCCCTTCAGCTGCCTCAAACCCCCCCTAGCGCGCAGTCTACAAGTGGCGGTGGCCTAGATGTCGATTCCCAAATAGTCGAACTCTTGAATGAGGAAAAGAACAAGGCCTCGCCCACTTCCGCAGGTCCTAAAGATGGGAAGGTTGAGTTTCCTTTTGTCCAGTATCCAGACGAGCCAGTCATGGAATGGAAGGAGAAGAAGTACGAACATACAACATCATGGTTTCGAAGATTTAGAGCTCTACCAGAGCGCAATGGAGTTCTTTTCGAGGCCATGTGGGTTGATGCTTGGGAGAAAATTTTCCCATATATTGGGGTTCCCAGGCGTTGAGTTTGGGCGGATTGGAATGGGGATTGGGGTTGAAAGGGGATGGATGGAATTGAAGGATATTTTGCGGATTTTACAGAGGAAAGACATGAAAACCCAAAAAATGTGATGATTATTGTACCAAAGATACCCAAGCTCGAGGAGCATTAGTTAGTAGCAAAAACGCAAATGAGATTCATTGAAGATAACTTGATTTCCTATTTGAACGGTGAAAACATAGAAGACATTTTACATACCTCGATGAAGATCTAAGTAAGTTTTGATGAACTTTTACTAATTTTTAATGAACTTTTTACAAGAGTTTTCATTATATCTTCATAAATATCTTGAACTTTTCATGGGTTCTATAGGCGTTTTCGTGGTAATTTTATTAACCAAGATATATTCGAATAACAAAGTAGTTTTTATAAACTAATACTACTATAAAACAAGTCTGTATCTAATATATCTTCTCGCTATCTAATTAATTATGTTCTTTGTAATAGAATTCTCTTAACTCTTAGAAATAAAGGAGAGCTCTTAGTAGGGTTATATATAGCTTCTAGATTAATGAAAACTTTGAGATTTATTTTATTCGCGTAAGATTTCTATTAGGATAAAGTTAAAGTGTTTGGAAATGAAAAGAAGAAGAGGGGAGGAGAGTTGCGCGAGATAGTGGATTTGTTTGGTTTTTGAGGAAGTAGAGTGTATAGAATAGTTTGGGAAAGGGGGTAAATGTGGAAGTGTTACGTGAGGTGGTGGATTTGTTTGGTTTTTTGTAAAGTAGAGTGTATAGAGTGGTTAGGAAAAGAGGGTAAATACATAAATGTTACGCGAGGTAGTGGATTTGTTCGCTTCTTTATTAAGCAGAGTTTTTAGAGTAGTTAAGCAAGTAAGGTACGTATAGAAATCTTACGCGAGATAATGGAATTATTCTAATTTCTATTAAGTAGAGTATATAAGCTAATTAGAAAAGAGAAATTACACGCGAGATAGTAGATTTATTCGCTTCTTTATTAAGTAGATTATATAAACTAAAAAGAAAACGAAAACAAGTATAGGGGTTTTACGCGATATAGCGGTTTTTTTATTCTTACTATTAAGTAGAGTGTATTACTTTAATATATAAAGAAAGTAAGTATAGAAATATTACGCGATATCGCGGATTTTATGCTTCTTACTATTAAGTAGAATAGATAAGTTAGTAAGAAAAGAGAAATTGAAAGAGAAGTCTGACGCGATAAAGTAGCTTTGTTTGTTTATAGAGAAGAATAAGAAAATACCATCAAAAGATATTATATTTAAGAATAGTTATTTTATAATCTAGTTACTACTATATAGTAAGTTGCGAATTAAGCTTAAATAGTTTAGTTTAGTTTAGTTCCTACTTTAATATATCTGTACGTAGTAGGAACATAAAAATTTCTACGATTTTCACAACAACGTAAGAATAGTAACAATAAGAGCTATATTACCTTTACTTTACCCTTTACTACAAACTCTACCTACTAGTAGTACTCCGACAGCCCTTCCGACAGCCCTACTAGCCCCTTTTCGAAATGGCCCCCCGCCTTACTTCTAGCGAAGAACGAGCTATTATACTAGCAATTTACGATAGCCTAGGTACGCCTGACCTATAGGCAACTGCGAATAATGTAAGACGAAGTAAAAAGTGCGTTCGGCTTATCTTTAATTAGCTTCTTGAACGACAAGGGATAACAAGGGACGAGTAGCTTATATAGCACGAACAGGACAACTGGCGAGGACAGAAGAAAAGACAGCGAAGGATAGAGAAGTAACGGGCCAAAGTAGAGAAGGCAAGGCGTTTTAGGAAGAGAAGGAAGAGGGTAATAAAGAGAATTAAGAAGGGGTTTAAGGAGATAGGATACGTGTAACGAATACTCAAACTGGCTAACTAAACTTGGCTGGGTGTTCGCTGGTTGGTATGCTATGATAAGAAGAAGA